TGCAGCAGTGTCTGAAATAAAGGATGGATGATCCCAGAGGCTCTGAAATGACACACAAGAGTATTCAAAACAGAGACACATCAAATGCCACGTGTAGAACCTTGTTTGGATCCTGATTATGAGAAACCAATTGTAAAACAATGGTTTTTGAAGAAATTTGAACACTAGATATTTTAGGACATCAAGGCATTACTTTTTTTAAATATATATTACAATGGTATAGTGGTTATTTTGAAGCCATATCTATTTTTCGGAGGTCTATACTGAAATAATGCGAAAAAAATATTAAATGGGAATAAAATTGATGTAACTTCAAGGAGATATTGCCAAAATTATCAGAATGAAAACTTTAAACATCCACCCTTTCAATAATTCGTGGATCAGACAATCAGTAACTCAGAAGATCTGAACAATTAATAAGCTTATTATAGTAGACATTTACAGAACACTTTCCAAACAACTGAAAAATATATATTCTTTTCAAGCACATATAAAACATATCCGAAAATTTACCATGTACTAGGATATAATCCATATCTTAACAAATGTCAAACAATAGGAATCAGACTCCATTCTCTGACCACAATGCAATTAACTTAGAAATGAATAACATGAAGGTAACTTTTTAAATATATATATTTGGAAAATTTCAAAACACATCTGCATAACTCATGCATCAAAAAGAAATCATAATGGAAAGTAGAAATCAGAAATGTATGATAATGAAAGTACTAGAGATAACAAAACTTGAGATACAGAAAACACAATAATCAGGAGATTTGTAGCTTTAAAGGTATGTATTGGACAAGAATAAATGTTGAAAACTACTCAGCTAAACATTAAACGTAAGAAGTAAAAGAACAACAAAAAAGCAAAGGAAAATAAAAGGGAAGTACTATTTCCAGAAATATGGCAGGTTAGTTAGGCTATTTTTATCAATCCTCCTTTTGAAAAAAACAAAATGTTGGCTGAAATATTAACAACAACAAGAATCTTCTTCAAAGTATCGGCATTTTCAAAGATGTAAGGAATTATCATGCTGACATAATTTTCCTGGCTTATATTACGAAAAATTTCAAACACACAGAAAAATTTAAAGTATAATACAATGAATACCTGTATTCCTATTGGATTCAACAACAGTTAAATCATTTGAAAATAAATTGACGTCATGACACCTGACCTCTAAATATTTCAGTATGCATCTCCTGAAAATTAGAACATTTTCCTACATAAGCACAATTCCATTATAATAGCTAAGAAAATTAACAGTAATTCCTAATGTTATATAATATCCAATCCTGGCAAAAATCTAAATAAAACCCAGAGAACCAAGAACTAGAGCGGAAAGCAGAACACTAAAACAGCTTTTGCCCCGAGGACATCAGCTGTTCCAGGCAACCTTGAACTTTGGTTTTGACGGCTTAGCACAGTAAGGGGGTCTGAGGTCAAAGACTAAGCCTGCTGAAGGTGAGGAGTCTAATAAGAGACTCTCTCCACATTAAGCTGGGACCCCAAAGGGCCCAGAGCGAGAGCAAATGAGGTATATCCATCATCTCCCCTTCATCCACAGAGAATCGCAGAGAAAATGGCATTCGTGCTGTGCTGGGGTCGGTGATTGTGAGGGTGGCGAATAAACTGGTTCCTTAAGTACGCAGTATCACCTTAGGACGTGAAGAGCAGCTCAAATTCACTTCACCTGGGCTGTTCCCACAACTTCCAGTCATGAATTCAGGACATAGTACCATCAATAAAGTACTTTTGTGAAAAGAACTGCTCCTGAATCTAACACCCACCCAAGTTTCAAGATTCACGTAATGATTTGCAGGAAATATAGGTGCTACAGAAGGTAGTAAATGACACTTTTCTGCCAACAGCCAAATTCAGGAAGATATTCTACAGGAAAAATAACCCAGTTTCTTCAATAAATAAATGACACAAAAAATTGGAGTGGGAGAAAAGGAACTGTTTAAAATTACAAAAGACTTGTTATCTATTAAGCACATATAAACCAAATGCAGTATGGACCTTGCTTGAATTTTAATTAGAACAAAATGGAGGTGGGGTGGGGCTGCAGGGAAAAAAAAGGAACAAAGGAAAGTTTGAATAAAGACCGCACATTCGATGTTATCAAGCAATTATTGTTTAATTTGTTAGGTGTGATAACGGCATTGTGGATTTTTAAAAAAGTTGTTGTCTGTTAGAGATACATGCTGAATAAATATCTTTTTTGTCTTGTAGCTACAAACTGCCAAACCATTAAGTCATTAAGAATCGGACTGATCAGAATTAAGATTGACTGATAGAAAAAACTGCAGAGACCCTAGACTTCAAGTTGGATGCAGTAGCTGGCTAAGATTTTTGGGGCTGCCTTACTTAAGGGTCTTAAGAATGCATTCAATGTAAAATGTTTGCATAAGAAGAAGGGTATGTATGGATATTATTAAATAAGCAGTTCAAGGGTGAGCTGTGGCAGACTCTGTGTACTGGCTAACCAAACACATTTTTAACCCAACGTACATTTTTTTTTTTTTTGAGACAGAGTCTCACTGTGTTGCCCAGGCTAGAGTGCCATGGCGTCAGCCTAGCTCACAGCAACCTCAAACTCCTGGGCTCAAGCGATCCTCCTGCCTCAGCCTCCTGAGTAGCTGGGACTACAGGCATGCGCCACCAGTCCAGATAATTTCTTTCTATTTTTAGTAGAGACGGGGGGTCTCACTCTTGCTCAGACTGGTCTCGAACTCCTGAGCTCAAACAATCCGCCAGCCTCGGCCTCCCAGAGTGCTAGGATTACAGGTGTGAACCACCGTGCCTGGCCCCAACATACATTTCTAACCCTCTCCTTGAGAACAATCTTCATAGAGCCCGGAAACCTAAGTACTATACTTGCTTTCCCAGCCTTCTTTATACCTACGGCTGGCCATGTGACATAGTTCTGGTGAATGACATGTAAGTGAAATCTTTTGCAGGGATGTTTCTAGGAAAACTTTTTTTTTTTTTAAGCGACAAGGTCTCACTCTGTCGCCCGCCCACGCTGGAGTGCAGTGGCCCTATCATAGCTCACTTCAGCCTTGAACTCCTGGGCTCAAGTGATCTCTGTATCCCTCAGCCTCCCAAAGCGCTGGGACTATAGACATGAGACATAGCGCCTAGCCAGAAAACTCTTACTTGATAAAAGCAATAGCCGATGTTAGTAGCCGTCCTTTTTCTTTTCATGAATTTGAATATGATTTCTGGAGCTGTGACAGCTCTAGCAACTGAGGGGAACATGTCCTGAACGAATGGCAGCAATTGCCTACCCCCACATTTCCTTAGAGTAACAAAAAAAATAAAATTTATGTTTAATTAAGCCATTGTTAGTTGGTTATTGTTATTTGTGGAAGAAAACATTCCTAATGTACACATTGCTGCAAAATGCTGATAATTCCCACGTCATAAAGTTTTATGAGGAATAAATATGTAAAATGTCTAACACTTGCCTAGGCAATTTTCGGGTTCCCTCTGCCTATCCTACTTCCTAGATCAATTTGGCTACATTTTCTGGAGGAAATTGTAATTCAATTTACCTTTTTATTAAAGCAGAGGTCACAACCATACAGTATTCTAATTAGCAAAGGTGTCACAGCTCCAGAAATCATATTCATTAAATATGAAATGTCCAATTTTGAACCCAAAGTGTAGTTTAAAATATCTCAAACATGAGGCAGTACAATTAATCAAAGTATGCGCCTAAACCATTGACACAGTTTTGCCATCTGAATGGTTGCTTGTTAATATATGTAAGGTTAGGATAACATTTTCTACTTTGTTCCATACTCTTATTTGTCATGCCCACGATTTTTATTGACTTCTTTGGCCAGAGGAGTTTACTGCTCCAGCATCTTCCTGGAAGAGTCCACAATGGCACTGAGGCTATTCATAATTATTTCCCTCTAGACTCATTAAATTGTACTTGCCTACACAGACATTCCCCTGCCACGTTTCTATATGCTCACAGAGCCTGGCATTTTCTCCTATTTATTTTTGTTAGTTTAGCTGCTGCCAAAAAGCAGGGCTAGGCTCTCATAAAGAGGTAGAACAGGCAGCAGCAAACCACAGGTATGACTGGAGAGAGTGCTCACCTGGATCTCCCCTAAAATACGGACGTGATTTCAGGACCACTCATTTGTCTGACTGTTGAATGCTCCTTGGTTGAACGCTCCTGAAAGGCAAGAGGACTTTAGATGAACTGGGAGGGGAGGTTCCCAATCTGTCTGCATGATATTTTGCTTTTTGAACCTGAAATATGTAGAAAAGCCCTTTTAAAATACTGTATTGAAGTTCAGAGAATTATTTTTCTTTCTGTTTAACGACTCTCCAGGACTAATGATGGATTTCCTATCCCTTTGCCAGGTTGCTAAACCAAATTAGGGCCAAATTACCAAATGCATGGTAATTCAACTTTTAAATAAGCTTTGTGGAGTCTTTCCAAAGGTTAAGAAAACCCTACCTAAGTTGTTTTTACTTGTTTCTCTTTAACCATGTTACTTCACTTCCTTCGAAGAGCACACTGCTTTAGCGTCACCCAAACTGAATGCAGACAGTCAGGACTATTGATTTCATAGCACAGTTTTTTAAACGCCGATATGGAAAACAAGGCTGTCAATTATGGAGGGAGGCGGGCCTCAGTCTAACCAGAACCTTCTCAAAACCACTTACATTTCAAGAGATGGATTAAGTTAAAAGAGCCATTTTCTATGCGTCCATTATATGCAAGGGATTACACTCCCCGGACACTCGTTAACTTTACAAGGAGACTTGCCGGTCCGGCGAAGGGGAAAGGCGATAGAGACCCGGTCGGCGGCGCGGAGGGCAGCGAGGTAGAAGCGCGCCCCCTGTGCCGAGGCTGCGCGCGTCCGCCGCGATCTGCCGGCCGGGCCCGGCCAATCCGCGGGCGGGGGCGGGGCGGCCTGGCGTCTGGGCCGGTGCTTGCGCGGGCGCTCTCGGCTCCGCCGCCGGCCATGGAGCGGCTGAGCTTGCCTCCGGGCGGCGCGGCGGCGGTGGACGAATACCTGGAGTACCGCAGGTGAGGGGCGGCTCCCGGCCCGCATCCCGCTGCCCCGCGGGGCGAGGACCCGGGCTGGCCCGGTGTCCCTAGCCCGAGGACTGCTGGTGGCGCCGGGGCTCCCGGAATCGTACCCGGGCTGCTGGGGGAGGCCTAGGTGCATTTCAGGTTTCGCCTTCCTGCAATTAAATATTGTAGTGACTCACAGTTCTATTCGGTAATAAGTCTTCCGAGGCCAGTTTAGAAGTCCTTCCGTTCCCTTCCAGGGAGGATTATTAGCTCTAGATTTATCCAAAGGTCTAATTGTTTTTTTAAAATGGCCATTGAAGAAATACACTTGGAGTACGCGGGACCTATAAAAGTTAGCAGACATCAAATGAATCTGGTAATGGGTAAATCGTAAACTTCCGAACGTGCTCCCAACCCTGAGGTGCTGGTTTTAGGAGAAAGACGCCGCCGACTGGTGTAGTTTTCTGTGGTTTTGGAGAAACCGGCCCCCAGAAGCAGGATGCAGTTCACTGCCGTGTGCCCTGGCAAAGGCTGCTCCACCTTAGGCGCCGTGTTCTTTTTCTGTTGCCTGAGGTTTTTGACAGTTGGGAAACTGGGCTAATGGGAATTACTGGGGGGGCACCGGCCGGAGGATGCGGGGTCGAGGCGGGACGATGTGTGTGTTCAAACCGGAGGTGAGAGAGTCACGGCTCAGCCTGGGAAACCTGAGCGAGACGGGCTACTCCCCTTAACCGTGTTCTGCCCAAATCACCGGAGGTGTCTGGGCAGGCGGGTTCCCCAGCTAACTGCACTGGCGCCGACTCCCCGGCTGGTGTAGTTTTGGGTAATACTTAGAACTGCCTAGAATTCTGGACCGAGAAAGTGAAGGTGAGGAGCTTGGTGGGTCAGTCCCCGTGGCCAGTTCAGTTGGGTTCAGGTAACTCCAAGATTCCTAGGCAGAACAGCAGCCACCCAGTCTTCACCCAGGGCAGCGCCGGCTCCCTTAGCCTCCAGTTCTCCGGGGTTTTTTTTCTGGAGTAAATTGCTGGGCCCAGGTGTTGACTGGTAACTTAAATATTTAGATATGTGGATCGATTGTGGGCCTCCAGTTGTCTCTTCCCTAGCCTAGAAAATGTTAGGGGCAGGCCTGGTGGGAAACTATTTTTGCAAGTATAAATCTGAAACACTTCCCTACAAAAGGGATTATCAGATCTTTTACTGGCACTAGGATTTGAGAAAAGTGGGGAAAACAGGACTTGGGTGCCTAGATATGAAAGGGGAGGTGGTGGTGGGAGGGGTCAAAAGGATGAATCTAGAAGGAAACAAACTCTCCTTGAAAGTTTTCCTTGATTTGGTCTTGCCTAGGTGCTTTGGTGGGAGTTAGTTGGGAGGGGAGGTGTAGAGCCTTGCTGTTAATGCCTAGAAGGGTGGACCAGGGACATAGGCATCACCTGGGAGCTTGTTAGAAAAGCAGACTCTCAGGCCCACCTCAGACCTGTTAATCTGTATTTGAACAAAATTCACTGGGGGTTCTGTAAATACAGTAAATATTTTTTTGTTTTTTTCTTCATGAAAATTACAATAAAATTTGAGCTGCACTGATTTAGAACTTAAATACCAATGAACTCTTTTTTTAAAGATCTGCATTTATCTTAAGATCTGTTCAGTACCTATTGATATTCTTCTTGATAGCTGTAAGAAAGTGAAATGGCCCAAAACTTGTCTCAGAATAAAATGCTATTTGTTTTTTACTGTTGTTTTTCTAAGTTGTTTATGTAAGGAAGAAGGTCGTGATGATTTCGTAGCTTATGAATTGGTTTTTATTTCTTACCTCAGAGGCTTCACAGTATGGAAAAAAGTATGTATTGCACAAAAAAATATGTAGCATCCTATGAACAACACTTTTCATGACTTTTAAAGGGGCTATTTTCAAGGAGAAATGTCTTCAATTTTGAACAACTTCTTTTAATTGTGCTTTTTTTTCCCTCCAGGTATGCCAACTCTTAATTTCTTTCCATAGAAATAGTGGGGGCTTAATTTTTCCCATAAAATTTTGGGTTCTTCTGAAATTAAACAATGATAAACCTGAGTGAGTGCCCAACACACAGATGTGGGTTTCAGCTTATACAGATCCAGGTGTTTTTAGGTCCCATATTAGTTTAAACTCCTGGCCAGAGTTTGGGATCAGGCATGGAAATTAGTTGTGTTCATTTCTGCATTGATATTTTTTGTACTTTTTTTGATACTGTTTTTAAAGGAGGAAAACTTTAGAACTTTTAGCAGTCTAGGCTCTAACTTTTAATGAGAAGAACGAGCATGTTTGCTTCAGAATCAAAAGAGAAATTAATATGAATATGTGCTAATCCTCCATTGATAAACCTCCATCAGTAAAGTCAGATATTATAAATTCATTGACTTTCTTATTTATAATACTCTTTTATATGAGAAGTATAGAGGAGAAAAGATTTCTTTCCTCAGTTATCACCAGCTTCATGGCTGAGGCATTCTATAATAAAACCTAGATTAACAGGAGAAAAGCTTATACATTTATTTAAAGTAAGTTTTATGTGACAATGGACACTTTCAGAAAATGAAGATCCAAAGAAACTGGGAATCCTATGTATTTTTTTTTTTTTTAATTTTTAATTTTTTAGAGACAGGGTCTTGTTCTTTCACCCAGGCTGGAGAGCAGTGGCCTAATCATAGCTCACTGTAACCTTGACCTCCTGGTCTCAAGCGATCCTCCTGCCTCAGCCTCCTGAGTAGGTAGGACTACAGACACGTACCACCATACTTGGCTAATTTTTTAATTTTAATTTTGTAGGAATGGGGCCTTGCTATATTGCCCAGGCTGGTCTTGAACTCCTGGCCTCAAGTGATCCTCCTGCTTTGGCCTTCCAAAGGCATGAATTACAGGCATGAACCACTACACCTGGCCCCTGTGTATTTTTATGCTTAGATTTGATGAAGATTATACAGTCATGGAGAAAAATGATTAAAGGGAAAAAGAGTATGATCTAATGGTAATAAATGGAGGGAACTTAGCAAGGCCTGTTTGTTCATATTCTTCTCCATGCCCCCATGTCTTAGAAGATAAGCATGTTCCCTTCCTCCAGGTACAGGGAGAGTATTTCTGGAATGAAACTTTTATGACCTGCTTCAGAGAAGAAGAGGGAGGGGAAGATGAGAGTGACCTTTCTACTTCTGTTTTCGCAAATGCCAGGGTGCTGTATTTTGGGGTAGCATGTCCTGAACTCCATCAGAAGCAAAAGTTTTATTACAATTATTTGTAATTTGGCTATTATCATGTGTTTAAAGTAAAAAAATCAAAGTCAAAGCAGCCTTTGCTTTGACTATGCTGGTTTAGTTTAGAATTTAGTATTTTTAACCTGGAAAATAAATCCTTAAGGCTTAAGAGAAGTATTTTTTTGTTGTAGAATTGTTGGTGAGGACGATGGAGGGAAACTTTTTACTCCTGAAGAATATGAAGAATACAAAAGAAAAGTTTTACCTACGCGCTTACAAAACAGATTATTTGTGAGCTGGCGGTCACCAACTGGAATGGATTGTAAACTTGTGGGCCCAGAGACACTGTGTTTTTGTACACATAGGTAAGATATTCTATTGCTAAGCTGTCTGATGATTAGAGAATAAAGCTGTAGCAAAGCATATCTTCTATAAGTAACACTGTGATGAATAACGTTTAAAAATAGGCCCTTATACAGTACAGTAGAAATTATCTAAAGCTTTTTTTAGCTGTAATTTAAACATTTCTATCATAGACTATTAGAACTCATCATAGAGTCTATCATGTTAAGCAACTCTTATCTTGCCATTGGTAAAAAAGATTTTGGTGCCCCTATGACTTTGCCAGGGGTCTTGCAGTTTGTGCGGGTAGCAGAGTCTACCTATGTCTACTGTCATTGGACAAGGTAGAGAACAAAAGGATCATCAGACTGAAGAACCACTTCAACAGTTGCTTGAATTGACCCACAGTGATCATGCTATCCATCTACAAATAGAAGCATTTCTCCTCATTTTACTAATCGCCTTTCATACCTTAATGAACTGCTGTGTCGATACCTGTCTTTTTTTTTTTTTTTTTTTTTTTTTGAGACAGAGTCTCACTCTTTTGCCTGGGCTAGAGTGAGTGCCATGGCGTCAGCCTAGCTCACAGCAACCTCAAACTCCTGGGCTCAAGCGATCCTTCTGCCTCAGCCTCCCGAGTAGCTGGGACTACAGGCATGTGCCACCATGCCCGGCTAATTTTTTTTCTATATATTTTTAGTCGTCTGATTCATTTCTTTCTATTTTTTTAGTAGAGACGGGGTCTCGCTCTTGCTCAGGCTGGTCTCGAACTCCTGAGCTCAAACAATCCGCCCGCCTCGGCCTCCCAGAGTGCTAGGATTACAGGCGTGAGCCACCGCGCCTGGCCCTTTCTGGGTATTTTATATAAATGGAATCATAAAATATGTGGTCTTTTGTGACTGGCTGCTTTTACTTAGCATAATGTTTTTGTGATTCATCTATTTTGTAGCATGTATCAGTATTTCTTTCCTTTTCATTGCTGAACAGTATTCCACTGTATCCATTCTGTGTCTATGGATAGGCCTTCCAATATGGCTTTCATGGGGAGTTGGTCTATAGGGAGGTTTCTATAATACATTATCTTTTCACCTCATGCTGGCCACTTGGCTGACCCTGCCACAACTGGTTTTATCTCAGTTTTTGAGGAGAAGGTCTGCATTTCCAGGCTCTTCAGTGTTCAACACAATTTCTTTTTGTCCTGGTTGGTTTTTCCATTTTTCTTTTCCTGTGATATACCCCCTTACCACATTAGCATATTTCAGAAGTAAGAATGTAGCTGACAGGAAGTTCAGGGGCTGGAGATCAGAGTTACAGGGCCTAGAGGATCTAGATTCAGCTGGCTTTGGCCAAGCTAAGTGGCTTTAGGGTAGACAGGTTAGTACCTATATTTAAAAATATTTAATTCCCTTTACATCTTGCTTCAGGTTCCAAGTGTTCAGGATTCCATAGCTGCTTCACTTGTGCTTGTGGTCAGCCTGCATATGCCCATGACACAGTAGTGGAAACTAAGCACGAAAGATTGGCTCAGGGAAAACCAGTGGGACGAGATGTTCCGTACGCAGCAATGGGAGGATTAAGTGGTTTCAGCTCACTGGCAGAAGGCTACATGCGATTAGATGACAGTGGCATCGGTAAGTGATGATATATGAAGTGTGAGCTTGTCATATTGTTTTTATGTGTGCTAACAGTAGTGAAGCCTTATAGTTGTTAAGCACTTTATAGTCATCATGTTTTTTCAGGAAACATTCTTTCATTTGATTTTTATTCTTAAAAAAATGTTTTACTGTCACTATACAGTGTATTGTCATAGAAAATTTAGAGAACACAGGGAAAAGATCACCCCTACCCCAATACTTGTACTCAAATCCCAGTCCACATCTCCATCGTTTGTAACAGCTGAATATTTCTTTCATTTGATATGATAGTTTACCTGTTACCCTGCTGTACACGGTTTTTGCTTTTATATCTGTCTCATTTTCAAAACAATAGGCATATGTTCATGTATGTTTTTGAACACACATGTACATACATGTAACCACATCTATAGTAAAGTATGTGTGTACATGTGTGCACATGCATATATCTTCTTGCATACATGTAAGTTTTAAATAATATAGACAAAAGTTTAATAGGATATATCCTGAATTATTGAAGGTAGCCATATCCTTCTGAGAATTGAGTGGGATTAGAGAGCAGAACATTCCCTATCTACTTTAAACATTCTGTGTGTGAAGATTTTTTAAAATTTTATAACA